CCCACAGGGACCTTCTGATGCCCACTGGTCAATTCTGATGGCTATTGGATCCTTTTGGTAGATGCCCACAGGGACCTTCTGATGCCCACTGGTCAATTCTGATGCCTATTGGATCCTTTTGGTAGATGCCCACAGGGACCTTCTGATGCCCACTGGTCAATTCTGATGCCTATTGGATCCTTTTGGTAGATGCCCACAGGGACCTTCTGATGCCCACTGGTCAATTCTGATGCCTATTGGATCCTTTTGGTAGATGCCCACAGGGACCTTCTGATGCCCACTGGTCAATTCTGATGCCCATCGGATCCTTTTGGTAGATGCCTACAGGAACCTTCTGATGCCCACTGGTCAATTCTGATGCCCACTGGTCAATTCTGATGCCCATTGGATCCTTTTGGTAGATGCCTACGGGGACCTTCTGATGCCCAATGGTCAATTCTGATGCATAATGGAACCTTCTGATGCCCACTGGATCCTTTTGGTAGATGCCCGCAGGGACCTTCTGATGCCCTCTGGTCAATTCCAATGCATAATGGAACTTTTGATGCCCACTGGTCAATTCCAAAGCCCATTGGATCCTTCCGATACTCACTAGATGTCCATTGCGACCTTTGGATGCTCACTGGTCAATACTGATGTCCAATGGACCCTTCTGATGCCCACTGGTCAATTCCAGTGCCCAATGAACCCTTCGGATTCCTACTGGGACCTTTTGATGTCCACTGGACACTTTGAGACGCCCACTGGACCCTTCTGACACCCTCTGGACACTTCAGACCCCCACTGATAAATTTCGATGATTGTTGAGACACAAATCCCACGTGTCCAATAAATCCCATGTGTCCAGCCATGAATTTCCTCCTTTTGTTGACCAAGCCGGAGATATATGCTTGTGAGGATCAGTGCATACTTAGCAAACAATCGTTTATTAATTTTCCTGCCATTTGAAGGACCAACCACAAAAGCCGCTCCACAGAGCCTCCAGCCAATAGGAGCCCAGATCCTAGTCGGTCCACTTTTCAGCCAATCAAAGGCTCGCGCGGGTACTCTGTGTTCTGTCTCGCGTTGGGCCTGTAAAGAATTTCCTTTAGAACAGGACGTGCAACCTTTGCCCAGTGGGAAGCCAGGGCCCCCCCGAAGAGAAGTTCTCAAGGATTTTCCACCACAAATGGTCTTTAGATGGCTTGTGAAGTATAACAAAGTCCTTTATTAATGAAGAATTAAACAGAAACTTCTCTTGTCTTCAGAATGTTTAACAAATGATTCCAGGCTTTTATTTATTTATTTTATTTATTTGGTACACTTGTATACCGCTAATATCTCAGCCTGAAACGGCGACTGGTGGCTTCCTAATCTTGTCCACGAAGGACAGGCAATTGTCTTCAATAACTAATTCTTTACTTTAAAGGAAAATACCCTTTTTAAACTTCTCCCAGGCTGACTGTAATCTAATTCTTACTGATGTGGGCTCCGCTACCGGGTTGAATTGCGTCTCGAACGCCGAGTGGACCTACCAGTGGGGTTCAGAATGCTCTTTGATTGTAGGTGAACTATAAATGCCAGCAACTACAACTCCCAAATGTCAAGGTCTGCTTCCCCCAAAGTCAATCTGTGTTCATATTTGGGTCTATGGAATATTCGTGCCAAGTTTTGTCCAGATCCATCCTTGTTTGAGTCCACAGTGCTCTCTGGATGTAGGTGAACTACAACTCCCAAACTCAAGGTCAATGCCCACCAAAGCCTTCTAGTGTTTTCTGTTGGTCAGGGGAGTCCTGTACACCAAAATTGGTTCAATTCCATCATTGGTGGAGTTCAGAATGCTCTTTGATTGTAGGTGAACTATAAATCCCAGCAACTACAACTCCCAAATGGCAAAATCAATTTTTTTGAGTGAAGGACATACATTGGGTTGTGAGGTGTCTTGTGTCCAAATTTGGCGTCGGTTCGTCCAATGGTTTTTGAGTTCTGTTTATCCCACAAATGAACATTACATTTTTATTTATATAGATAAGTAAAAAGCATTTATGTAAAAAGCACTTTAAAGGAATAGGTAAATCCAATTAGGTAAGAAGATAAGCATGAAAATTGTAATGTAGTTTCTTCCGTTGTGTTTTTCAGTGTTTTTACGAGCGAAGGACATACATTGGGTTGTGAGGTATCTTGTGTCCAAATTTGGTGTCAGTTCGTCCAGTGGTTTTTGAGTTTTGCGAATCCCACAAACGGACATGACATTTTTATTTATATATAGAAGATAATAAAATAATAAATAAAACAATATAATATTATATAATTATAAAATATATAATTTTATAACATAAAATATTTTATAATATAAAATTTATATTATGAAATGTAATATTTTATAATACAAAATTTATATTATTAAATTTTAAGGTAATATAATAATAAATAAAATAATATAACATTTTATAATTATAAAATATATAATTTTATAATATAAAATATATAATTTTATAATATAAAATATTTGATAATATAATTATAAATTATAAAACATAATATTTTATAATATAAATTTTATATTATAAAATTTAAATTTATATATAGAAGATAATAAAATAATAAATAAAACAATATAATATTATATAATTATAAAATATATAATTTTATAACATAAAATATTTTATAATATAAAATTTATATTATGAAATGTAATATTTTATAATACAAAATTTATATTATTAAATTTTAAGGTAATATAATAATAAATAAAATAATATAACATTTTATAATTATAAAATATATAATTTTATAATATAAAATATATAATTTTATAATATAAAATATTTGATAATATAATTATAAATTATAAAACATAATATTTTTAATAATAAACTATATAATGTTTATAATAAATATTTCATAATATAAATTTTATATTATGAAATATATTTTATAATATACAATTTATATTATGAAATATAATATTTTATAATACAAAATTTATATTATGAAATATAATATTTTATCATATAAAATTTATATTATAAAATATTTTATATTATAAAATTATATATTTTACAATATAAAATGTTTTATTATTTTATTTATTATTATTATATTACTTTAAAATTTAATAATACAAATTTTATATTATAAAATACTACATTTTATATTATTTTATAATATAAAATCTATATTATAAATATTATTTGTATTATAAATATTATAAAATATTATGTTTTATAATATAAAATTTATATTATTATAATATTCCCCCCCGAACCCAAGTTATGAAGGCGGAGGCATTACTTTTCAGTCAACCCCCCCTCTGCCTCCATGAACGCATCCAAGGGCAGAAGGCGGCTCGGGGGGCGGATCCCCGCGGCGGCCAATCAGCGCGCAGGGCCGGCCGGCGCCCTTCTCCCATTGGCCGGCGCGCCCCTCTCGCGCCTCCGCCAATCAGCGCCTTTGTTTGGGGTTAACGGCCCGAGGAGAGGCGCGGCTGCCTGTCAAGCGCGGGCAGCCAATCGCAGCGCGCCTGGACCTTAGGCCCCGCCCTCTCTCGCTTCGCTCTATTTGCGTCACTCCTTTGAGAGCCTCCACTTTTTCCTTCGCCTAACTCTTTACCTCGGCTTCTTATTGGTCGAGTCACCCGTCAATCTAATTGTTGTCTCGCCTACCTCTTTCTCTAGGAATCTTATTGGCCGATTCATCCGTCTATCTAATTCGCAGTGATTCGATTGGCTGAGACGTCTCCTCTTTTCCCCTGATTGGTCAACGCTGTTCCCTTTTCCCCGCCTTCCTCCTCACCTCTCACTCCGATGCTTGAGGAGTTTTCTCCGCCTACGTCTTTCTCTAGGCATCTTATTGGCCGAGTCACCTGTCAATCTAATTCTCGTCCCGCCTACCTCTTTCTCTCGGCTTCCTATTGGCTGAGTCACCCGTCAATCTAATCCTTTTCCTCCATCGCCTCGCCTTTTTTGGCCGCCTACCTCTTTCTCTCGGCTTCTTATTGGCCGAGTCACCTGTCAATCTAATTCTCGTCTCGCCTACCTCTTTCTCTAGGCTTTTTATTGGTCGAGTCACCTGTCAATCCAATTCTCGTCTCGCCTACCTCTTTCTCTCGGCATCTTATTGGTCGAGTCAATCTAATTATTTTCCTCTATCGCCTCGCCTTTTTTCGCCGCCTACCTCTTTCTCTAGGCGTCTTATTGGCCGAGTCATCCGTCAATCTAATCTTTTTTACCGCCTACCTCTTTCTCTCGGCTTCTTATTGGCCGACTCACCCGTCAATCTAATTCTCGTCCCGCCTACCTCTTTCTCTCGGCTTCTTATTGGCCGAGTCACCCGCCAATCTAATTCTCGTCTCGCCTACCTCTTTCTCTAGGCATCTTATTGGCCGATTCACCCACCAATCTAATTCTCTTCCTCCATTGGCTGAGCCGTCTCTTCTCATTCCCTTGATTGGTCAACGCTGTTCCTTCTCCCCGCCTTCCTCCTCACCTCTCGCTCCGACGCTTGAGGAATTTTCTCCTCCTGCCTCTCTTCCCGCCCCACTTGTCGCTCATAGGTCGGCGTAGACGTCAATCGAGCCCAGCCTCCCTTCTGGAAAGCAGCGATTGGTGGATGCAGAGCGTCAATCAGGGAGGATAGACCAATAGGTCGGCGTAGACGTCAATCGAGCCCAACCTCCCTTCTGGAAAGCAGCGATTGGTGGATGCAGAGCGTCAATCAGTGAGGATAGACCAATAGGCGCCGCGAGGGAGGGCCTTTTTTCGTCTTATTGGTCGAGTCACCCGCCTATCTAATTCTCTGTGATTCGATTGGCTGAGCAGTCTCTTCTTGCTCCTTTCTCCCCGCCTCACCTCGAGGAGTTTTCTCCTCCTGTCGTCCTCTTCTCACCCTATAGGTCAGCGTAGACGTCAATCGGGCCCAACCTCCCTTCTGGAAAGCAGCGATTGGTGGATGGGGAGCGTCAATCAGGGAGGGTAGACCAATAGGGGAGCGAGGAGCGTGAGTGTGAGGCGGCGCGAGGGAGGGCCGGAAGGGGCGGGGCGAGCGGGCTGAGGGAGGCAGGAAGGAAGGAGGAGGAGGCAGCGGCGGCCACGGCATCCCGGTCGCGAGGAGCGAGGCGGCGGCGGAGGAGGATGAGGCGCGCGGATGAGGGGAAATGGCCGCCGAAAACAAGCCGGAAGGTGAGCCGGGAGAGAACGGAAGACGGAGGGAAGGAAGGCCGAGGCCCGGTGGGAGGGGGGAGGAGAAGGCGAGGAGGAGGAGGACGGGAAGGGAGTGCGCATGCGCCGAGCCCCCTGTTGGCTTCTCGGGCCCTGCAAGGGGAGACCCTCGCTGTCAATCTCCCGCCAAGCCCCGCCCCTCGAGGGGGAGGAGCCTAGCCTTGGCTGGGAGGAGAGCCCTCCAGTCCACCCTCAAAGCCCTCCCCACAGATGGACATCCCGCTTGTGTATCAAAGATGGACCCCCATATGGAAAATTAGTAGAATCTTAGAATAGGAAGGGCCCTCCAGTCCAAACCTAAAGGAAGACACCATTAAAGCCCTCCCGACAGATGGCCATCCTGCTTCAGTGGAAATGAATAGAAGCCTAGAGGTGTGTTTCCTTAAATATGGAAATCTAGATGGGAAGTTAATACAGTCTTAGACTTGGAAGGGCCCTCCAGTCCACCCTCAAAGCCCTCCCGACAGATGGCCATCCTGCTCCAGTGAAACCTATTTTGCCAGCACTAAAGCCCTCCCGACAGATGGCCATCCTGCTTCAGTGTAAAACACCATTTTAAAAATCCGTAGAATCCTAGAGTCGGAAGGGAACTCACTCAGGCCATCCATCCAACCCTAGACACCACCAAAGCCCTCCCAACAGATGGCCATCCAACTTCTGTATAACCTCCCCCCCCCTCCAAAGATGGATCCCCATATTGAAAATTAATACAATCTTAGAATTGGAAGAGGCCTCCATTCTAAACCTATTCAAACCCAAAGGAAGACAGCACTAAAACCCTCCCAACAGATGGCCATCCCGCTTCAGTGAGAATTAATAGAAGCCTAGAGGTGTGTTACCTTAAATATGGAAATCTATATTGGAAAATTAATAGAATCTTAGACTAGGAAGGGCCCTCCAGTCCACCCTCAAAGCCCTCCAGACAGATGGCCATCCTGCTTCAGTGGAAATTAATAGAAGCCTAGAGGTGTGTAACCTCAAATATGGCAATCTGTATTGGAAATTAATAGAATCTTAGACTTGGAAGAGGCCTCCAGTCCAAATCTATTTTGCCATAAAGGAAGACACCATTAAAGCCCTCCCGGCAGATGGCCATCCAACTTCTGTATCACCCCCCCCTCCAAAGATGGATCCCCAAGGAAGACACAATTAAAGCTCTCCTGACAGATGGCCATCCAACTTCTGTATAACCTCCCCCCCTCCAAAGATGGATCCCCATATTGAAAATTAATACAGTCTTAGAATTGTAAAGGCCATAAAGGAAGACACCCTCAAAGCCCTCCCGACAGATGGCCATCCAACTTCTGTATAACCTCCCCCCCTCCAAAGATGGACCCCCATATTGAAAATTAATAGAATCTTAGAATTGGAAGGGCCCTCCAGTCCAAACCTAAAGGAAGACACCACTAAAGCCCTCCCGACAGATGGCCATCCAACTTCTGTATAACCCCCTCCCCCCTCCAAAGATGGATCCCCATATTGAAAAGTAATACAATCTTAGAATTGGAAGAGACCTCCAGTCCAAACCTATTCAAACCCAAAGGAAGACAGCACTAAAGCCCTCCCAACAGATGGCCATCCTGCTTCAGGGAAAATTAATAGATGCCTCGAGGTGTGTAACCTTAAATATGGAAATCTATATGGAAAATTAATAGAACCTTAGAATTGGAAGAGACCTCCAGTCCAAACCTAAAGGAAGACACCATTAAAGCCCTCCCGACAGATGGCCATCCTGCTTCAGGGAAAATTAATAGATGCCTCGAGGTGTGTAACCTTAAATATGGAAATCTATATGGAAAATTAATAGAACCTTAGAATTGGAAGAGACCTCCAGTCCAAACCTAAAGGAAGACACCATTAAAGCCCTCCCGACAGATGGCCATCCAACTTCTGTATAACCCCCCCCTCCAAAGATGGACCCCCATATTGACAGTTAATAGAATCTTAGAATTGGTAGGGCCCTCCAGTCCAACCCTATTTTGCCAGAAAGGAAGACACCATTAAAACCATTAAAGACAGCACTAAAGCCCTCCTGACAGATGGCCATCCCGCTTCAGTGAAAATTAATAGGACCCTAGACGTGTGTAACCTCTCCCCTCCTCTCCCCCAAATATGGAAATCTATATGTAAAATTAATACAATCTTAGAATTGGAAGGGCCCTCCAGTCCAAACCTAAAGGAAGACAGCACTAAAGCCCTCCCGATAGATGGCCATCCTGCTTCAGTGTAAAAAAACAAAAACCCCATTTTAAAATCCGTAGAATCCTAGAGTCGGAAGGGAACCCACTCAGAGGCCATCCATCCAACCCTAGACACCCTCAAAGCCCTCCCGACAGACACCGTCAACCCTAGACACCGTCAAAACCCTCCCGACAGATGGCCATCCAACTTCTGTGTAACCCCCCCCCCTCCAAAATGAGAGATCTCCATTTTATTTATTTATTTACTTATTTATATTTATTGACGGCCTTTCTGTGCCGCCCTTCTCACCCCGAAGCGGACTTACAATATATGATGTTATTAGCATATTATATATTACTCTAATGCACTATACCATTATATTGTAGTATTATTAGTAATATTACATGTAATGTAAATATATAATTATAGTATTGTAATATTATTACTAGTATTATATTGTGTTGTATTCATTATTACTAATATTATATTGTATTCTATTATTATTACTACTTTGTTGTATTCTATTATTATTACTAGTTTTATATTGTATTCTATTATTGTTATTATTACTATTATATTGTTATTATTACTACTATTATATTGTATTCTATTATTATTACTAATATATCGTATTCTATTATTATTATTGTTATTACTAGTATTATATTGTATTCTATTATTGTTATTACTGATATTATATTGTGTTCTATTATTATTACTACTAGTATTGTATTCTATTATTATTAGTATTATTATATTGTATTCTATTATTATTATTATTATTATTACTAGTGTTATATTGTATTCTATTATTGTTATTACTGGTATTATATTGTATTATATTATTATTAGTAGTAGTATTATATTGTATTCTATTATTATTATTATTACTAGTACTATATTCAATTATTGTTATTATTAGTATTATAATGTATTCTATTATTATTATTATTATTATTACTAGTACTATATTCAATTATTGTTAATATTAGTATTATATTATATTCTATTATTATTAGGAGTAGTAGTATTGTATTTTATTAGTATTAGTATTATATTGTATTCTATTATAATTACTAGTATTATATTGTATTCTATTATTATTATTACTAGTATTATATTGTATTCTATTATTATTATTACTAGTATTATATTGTATTCTATTATTATTATTATTACTAGTCTATATTCAATTATTATTATTATTACTAGTATTATATTGTATTCTATTATTATTACTACTTTGTTGTATTCTATTATTATTACTAGTTTTATATTGTATTCTATTATTGTTATTATTACTATTATATTGTTATTATTACTACTATTATATTATTACTAATATATCGTATTCTATTATTATTATTATTGTTATTACTAGTATATTGTATTCTATTATTATTACTAGTATTATATTGTATTCTATTATTGTTATTGCTGATATTATATTGTGTTCTATTATTATTACTACTAGTATTGTATTCTATTATTATTAGTATTATTATATTGTATTCTATTATTATTATTATTATTATTACTAGTGTTATATTGTATTCTATTATTGTTATTACTGGTATTATATTGTATTATATTATTATTAGTAGTAGTATTATATTGTATTCTATTATTATTATTATTACTAGTACTATATTCAATTATTGTTATTATTAGTATTATAATGTATTCTATTATTATTATTATTATTATTACTAGTACTATATTCAATTATTGTTAATATTAGTATTATATTATATTCTATTATTATTAGGAGTAGTAGTATTGTATTTTATTAGTATTAGTATTATATTGTATTCTATTATAATTACTAGTATTATATTGTATTCTATTATTATTATTACTAGTATTATATTGTATTCTATTATTATTATTATTATTATTATTACTAGTCTATATTCAATTATTATTATTATTATTAGTATTATATTGTATTCTATTATTATTATTTTTACTACTATTATATTGTATTCTATTAATTTTGAAAAGTAATAGAACCCTAGAGTTGGAGGAGGACCTCCCCTAAGGCCCTCCCGTCCAACCCTATACTCCCATAAAGGAAGACACCATTAAAGCCCTCCTAACAGATGGCCATCCTGTTTCTGTGTAAACCCCCCCCCCCCAAGATGATTCTTCATATTGAAAACTGATAGAATCCTAGAGTTGGAAGGGCCCTCCAGTCCAACCCTATACTGCCATAAAGGAAGGCACCATTAAAACCCTCCTAACAGATGGCCATCTGGTTTCAGTGTAAAAAAAAAAGACACATACCTCCTTGGGGATGGAGCCCCTATTACTACCCATTGCATCCTTGAATGTTTTAGTATTGAAAACTCATAGAACGCTCTTGTTGGAAGGGATCTCCCATGCGGCCCAAATTTTTATTAATTTATTATTATTATTACTATTATTATTATCGTGATATTTCAGATATTTAATCATGACCCGTCCACTTGTTTATTGCTTTTTGTTTCTATTGACGTGTTGTTGGGCTTGGCCTCATGTCCGTTGCCATTCCGAGTCCATTGGGGAGATGGTGGCGGGGTATAAATAAAGTTTTATTAATTAATTAATTATTTTATACAACATATACAGACATAGACAGAGGGAAGACGATACTGAAAGTACAGAAAGCCTTGATGGTGACCTGACCCGGCAAGCTTGTCTTGATTTGTGTGTCAGGCGGAGTTCTCGCCTGGCTGGTAGACGAGAAGCCAGCTCGGGGAAAGGTCATCGCAATGCTTTCATGTTGGTGAGAGCATAAT